ATATATATATATATACATACACACGTATATATATATATTTATAACTTATAATAAATATAAAAGTAGTCATGTGTTATTTTTAAAAATTAGATTATCAATTATAATTTTGATTAATGGTTAAATATATTTTATTTTTTATAGTTGTATTATCATTTATAGTTAATTGTACAATAAAAAAATTAAATACTAATTTTAAATGTTATAATATTAAATTGACTATAAAAGATAAATAATCATATCTTATTATTCCAAAAATAATATAATTTTTTTATAGTTTGTTTATTGTCAAAATTAGTTAATAAATTATTTCTTACATTATAATTAATTGTGAAATTATTTTATTATATTTTTCATATGAAACGAGATGGGTCGGATAAAACCCAAATTTAAAACTCGAATTACCCGTTTACCCGAAAAATATCCACTAAAACGTCGGGTAAAACCCAACCCGAACCCGAAGATCACTAGCCGGGTAGCGGATCGGGTTTGGGTAGAGTAAATTATATGCGGGTCGGGTTCAAGTTTGTCAAAACCCGTACCCAACCCGACCCATTTACATCCCCAATATATTCTTATATCATTTAATAAAAAAAAAAAGAAAAAAAAAATCACATCAGATATATGCCGTCTCCGACGCTCTATTTTACTTCTCTCGTAAACCGTTCTCGATTCTATAGAGTCTGCACCAGCGCTGAAAATGCTGCTGCAACTTAGGTCCCGCCTTTTAAACCCTAATTTCTCCTCTATCCTCACCTTGCCATCGCCTTATCCTCCTTACAAACCTCCTCAATTGACGCTCTCATTTCGCGCCTCCATTCATCAGAGGCCGAATTACCGGCAAGCCGCCGCCGCCAAGTCCCCCGGCCCGGCGCCCGTCTCCGACGCCGCCCAATTCGTTCGGACGGTGCTCTTTGTGCCGCCGGGCGTCGACTCGGATGACGTCACCGACGACATGGTCCTGCCCGGGTCGAACATCGTGCTCGGGCCCTACGCTGGGGACGCCAAAATCAAAGAGGTGGATTTCGTCAAGAGCAGTAACAGGCCGAAGGACTGCCCGAAAGACGCCCGACCCGAGTTCGCCATGTTGGGCCGATCGAATGTCGGCAAGTCTTCTCTTATTAACTTTCTGGTTCGGAAAAAGGATGTCGCTCTTACTTCCAAGAAGCCAGGTCTCACATACATTTATTAATATAAGGGTGTTGGTGGGTTTTTGTTTGTGCGTATGTGCTGAAAATACTAATCTGTTAGGTGGTTTGTGCAGGAAAGACTCAATTGATTAATCATTTCTTGGTTAACAAGAGCTGGTACATTGTGGATTTGCCTGGATATGGGTAAGGTGCTAATTTCTTTTCACTTTTGGAAGTAAAGGATCCTATACACTTTGTTATGCCCCATTTACTGTGCTTTGGTTTTGAACAATGGGGCTATAACTATGAAATGAAGTTTTGGTTCCCAAATTTGTGTGTATTTGACGGACGGGATGAAGTTTATCTTTACTGTTGTTTGGTTTATGCACCCTGCCTTTGATATTATTGTTTGGGGTTTATAATCTAGTGTAAACAAGATGGCTGTTTATGCATTCTGTCCATGCAGCTTTGCGAATGCCCCTGAATCAGCAAGAATGGATTGGTCATCTTTCACCAAAGGCTACTTTTTAAACCGAGAAACTCTCGTTTCTGTCCTACTTCTGGTCGACGCAAGTGTTCCGCCTCAGAAAATCGACCTCGATTGTGCAAATTGGCTTGGGCGTAATAATGTATATCTTCAGCTTTTTAATTCATTTATTTTTTCACAAAAAGGGGTATGCCTTTTTGCAATTTAGTGAAAGAAGTTATACTCTATAATTTACATCTTACCTATTCTGTTTCCTGTGCGTGTTTGTGTGTCGTCTGTAGATACCCATGACTTTTGTTTTCACAAAGTGCGATAAGATGAAAGGAAGCAAGGGAAGAAGGCCAGATGAGAACATTCGTGATTTCCAGCAGATCATCAGACAGAACTATCGGCAGCATCCTCCATGGATTATGACGAGTAGTGTCACAGGGTTGGGGAGGGACGGGCTTCTTCTTCACATGTCGCAGCTTAGAAACTATTGGGATAATGAGTAGTGTTACATGAATGAAATGCAAATGGATTGTGTTCTTGGATTCACATCTTTTTGTTTTTCAGGTTTGGGGACTTCAAAGCTAACCCTTGTATATATGTTTATTTTGACGGTCTACCTGAATATTCGAGTAGTTGTTTACCTTGTCAACTTCTAAAATTTACCATACGGACTATGTGCTATAGCCTATTTGCATCTACCTCATGAAATTGGATTTATTCTCATTTTTCCCATAGGAGAACGAAGGTTTTGAGGAATATGAAGGTATGTATGCCATTGGTGGTGAAAATTTTGAAGTTGACCCTAATGAACGATTTTAAATCTGTAACTGAGTCAAATTTTATTGAATTTCACCTCGGGTAAGGATTTACAGAAATCGAATTAAAAAAGAAGTTTCTCCCTAATCGTTGAATTAAATAATCAGTTGTCTTGGTTTAAAGATTATAATTTACGACATTCAACAGAGCCTGTTGTTGGCTCTTTATATCTCGGCTGTGAAGGCCTCTTGCTGGGGTGTTCAGCTTTAGGTTTTCCTTATGCTCTTCTTCATTAGCATCTATTTATATATTTGAGATCTTCCATTGTTTGCTTGCAGTCTGAAAATATATCAACAATTAATTTACCAAAACACAATGAAAGGCTAACTCTCTGTCTTCATGAGCTATATAGCAGATGCATGCTTCATTATTTTTCTTTTGAAGGCTCAATAGCTCTACCCTTGTGTGCTTTCCTCTTCCCCTCAGCCATAAGGATTAAATTTATGGAGATTCTCTAGTGAAGTGGCCAAGTTTACAGTAGTTGTTTTTCTTATCTTGATTGTTGACTTAATCCTTTTGGTTTCTGTTTTTCTCTCCTTTCAACGTTAACTTGAAATATTTTCGGTCCAAAAACTCAAACTTAAACAGATCATGTAACTCCACCATCATAAAGAATTTGTGGTTATGTATTGTACTATTAATGTATTACTAGTTGTAATTCTAAGGTAAAATAAATAATGAATAATCTATAAGCGTTGAGTGTGTCTTAGGTAGTCCTTGTAGTTTGATCGTTATTTGTTCGGACCTTTGTATGTATTATCGTTTCGGGAAAAAAAAAAAACATTAATGCTATTTTTTTTATATTTTTATGTACATATATAGTTATAACCTTTTGAATGTAGGGAACCGCGAATTTGCTTTTATACTCCAGCATTTACAATGACAACAAGTGTAGTCATGATGTTGATGTGTCTTTTTTTTTCTTCTTTTTATCAACTACAAAAACAGATTCAATAAAACTCAAACATAAGTCTTATAACCCGACTATCAAATGATAGATACAAGCACAGGGGAGTCAAATTAAGAAAAAAGGAGAAGAAAACTTCAAGGAACTACCAAATACAAATGAAGAAAAAACAAGATTGTCCATGTGTCACAAGTGGCATTTTTATGACTATTGTTACACCATAATTTGCTATTTATCAATAAATAGAATTTTCTATTAAAAATCAAAGATAATCCAAAAACTAGAATGGAAAATTATAATGGGATAAAACTGGTATCAGGGCCTTGTTATAAGGCGATGTATCATGGATAAAGAAAAGTCGGGCAACTTAGTTGAAGTATTGATAGCATATAAGTTGGGATCGACGAATCACAATTTAAAGAATAATCATAACTTCGAAAATAAAAGAATGATAGGAAATTACATAATTTTATTTTCAAAAAAATTGAAATATTTTTATAATTATTTTGGAGAAGCAATAGATACAAGTCAAAACAGATGGAAAATTTGTTTTTTTCGATTATCTGTAAAAATAAATAAATAAATAAAAAGAATACTTTTTAGCATTTGAAAGGGATAAAAGTAGAAACTAGATGTAAGATTTATTACTTACATATTTCTAATATACAAATGATTCATAAGTCAACTAATAGTTTAGGAATAGATACAACCATCACCTTAAGACTAGTTGATAATATAATCATTAACTACTCAGCAGTTTTGCTATGAAGCGAATAGTTGGCTCTACAGTGGAGCCAACCTTCTATATACAAAAAGTAAACATACCATATTAATAAAATTATTAGTATTATTTAAGTAATCAGAGAATATATTATGATTTACTTGTTGTATATATAAGGTTAACTTCTTTATGGAGCCAACTATTGGCTTCATAGCGAAACTGAACTACTTAGATGCTTCAATAGCAGAAGGTAGTGAATATTTAAAATTATGGAAAGATTAAGTACAAAGTTAAACTACCAAGTTGGAATGTCTTTATTAGATAATAAATTTGATTAATCCATCGCAATGTGTTGGAATAGGAAAAGGAAAATCACAAAACCTAGAAATTATTCATTAAAAGTAACATGAGTATGCACTAACTAACGGTCATCATAGCTTTTTGTTTACACCTCACAAAAAATTTAAAACTGATGTTTTATTCTCACCAATATTGTAACTACAAGCTCCTAAAAGGACATTTTAGATTAAAAGAATTGAGTCTATTGTTAGACCCATAACTGACCATTGTTCCAAAGAAAATAAAGAGAAAGGAGAATCAAGTTCTTCACAAATTGATGCATTAATAGAAGTGATCATAAAACCTAACAACCCAATAAATAAAATCGAGCAAAAAACTTCAAGAAATAAGTAAAGAATTGGAACTTAAATTATAATGACTCTAGCGGGGATAAAATAAGAGATTGGATAGAATGAAAGTATGATCATCATCAACTAGTCACGGATGAAAGTTGGTTTTGACTAAAACAAATGAGTTGGTAAACCAAGTCGTCCATAATAACCAAGAGGAAATGAAAATCCTCATACACAAGATTCTTGGAAAATGAGTATGACGAACAATACTCCTCTTTGGGGGAATGTTGAGAAAATTTGAGATAATCAAGATCTAATTCTTGAGATACTTCAAAAGACAAGTAGAGACATTGATGTTTATGGACACCCTACTTGTAAAGATGCTTTATATTGTAAGTTAATTGTTTGACATTAAATCACAAATCTCAAGTCATATCTTAGAATCAAAAGCAAGTCAACAATCGAAATATTCTCCGAATCCAGGAGAAGTTTTATTTTCTTTATTCTATGATTTATTTAATTAGTAATAAGTCCAATTAATTATTTTGCAGGAAATCAAGAGGGATTGCATATCATATTGGAGAATGACTACACTTATTTATTTAAGAGGAAGGACACACACACACACACACACACACACACACACACACACACACACTAACCTTCCCAAATAGTTGAAGCCTGCGGACGAGGCAAAATGCAACTTTTCATATGCGAAGATGGGAGATCATAGTAAATTTAATAATTGAAGTCAAATAAAGAAAGCAGTAGACTGGAGGAACTTAACTTATGGAGAAGCAATTATGAAGGCTTGCACAGACCATCTTTTTTATGTATCGAGATTATTTTTATTGAGAGGGTACAGTGAAAGTTGAGCGGGGAGTGACTGACTAGAGTGGATATTATTTTTAGTTGATTGATTCGCCGAATCAGAGAGCATGTTTTGTGATTGGAACTCTGTTTTATCATTTGAACACTCATAGTATTGGGGACGAACATCATATACAGTGCGAGAGATTCGTGTTGTAGAAGTCTACGAGGAGTGGCTTGAAAAAATAGTTGAGTGAAGTGATTACATCGTAGATTAGGTAGAGGGCGTCTTCGGTGTAGTTCCTAGTTTTAATGGACCAAACACTTGCTGCAGTGAAAGGATTTCTAAGAGAGAGCGGGATGCTCTCTTGAAGACTCAATTTTAGTTCTATTTGCTTACACATTTGTAGTGAACATTTATAATTTACTTGTAAAGCGCAATTTTGTAACTTCCTAGAAAAATTTCAATTTGCACTAATCGTTACTATATAGGAAGATCTTGTGGACCTATATACGGGAAACCACGAATCATGATGACAGATCTATGTCGAGACCACCACAACTGGATGGCTCGAATTACTCCTACTGGAAATCAATGATGACCATCTTCTTGCGGTCACTTGTTAGAGGTACGTGGAAAAGCGTAGAAAATGAGTGGACACTTCCACTCACGAGAAAAACACCAGAAAGTGGAACTCGCACTCAAGTTGAAGATGTCCCAAAACCAAGGGATATCTGGACGAATCTTAAAAAAAAAAAAAAAAAAACAGGAAGAGAAAAATTTACGAGACTTATATGCAATTCTGATGGTCGTCGATCAAACTTGGAACAAAGTGATAATTCAATGCACAACAGCCAAAGATGCTCGGCGTGTTCTGGAGTGCCAGTTCAAAGGATCCAAATCGGTAAAATATTCCAAACTGCAGCGAGTGACGTTGGTCTTGGATGATATCAAGATGAAGAAAGACGAAACAATTGACTCATACTACATGAGGTTCTGTGATCTTCTAAATCAGTGTGCGATGCTGGGAGAAGACATCTTTGAAACACGCCAAGTCCTAAAAATTATGAGGACGCTTCCAACACGGTTTTCTGAGAAGATTACAACTTTTTAAAGCTTTCAAAGGGTCAAAACACTTGATCTTGATGATCTTCTTAGTGATCTCTGAATGCACGAAATATGTAAAAACTATGACAAAGTGAAGCATAAGTGATTAGCCTTGAAGGTTGTCGTTTCATCTCAGACTGAAGCCAATAATGAGGAAGAAGGTTCATTAGAGGAAGACACTGAATTCAAAGAAGGATTTGCCTTAATTGCTAGAAATCATGGTATAATACGACTGAAGATTTATGAAAACATGTTTGGTGGAAAGAAATTCAACAACACCACCACCAACAACAATAACTAGAGTTCTTCGCAAGACAAGTAAACCAACAATCCTTCCTCAAAATATGAAACTCAAAAAGTTGAGAAGGACCCGTGAAGTTAGTGTTGGAACCCACGAGGATCTCGATATGCACAAATCACAGACAAACATTCAA